CTTTCCCTATGTATTTTATTTAAGATTTTGAGATATTTGGCAAAACATATGACTGAAATTTTTAATTTTTTGTTTCCATTTTTAGTGGATCAAAATATTTAAACATGCAGTTGCTGGGTGTATCATTTCACTTTTGTGGTTTTTTGGCCTCACTCTTTGTGGACCACTAAGGTAAATAGAAATGCATATTTTGAATGTTTATGTTTCTTCATTTTGAATATTAGTTTTATGCCATTATGTTTTATGTCAAATGTTTGTCAGTTATGTACAAATGCTTCTTTCACTTCTATAGCATTGGGTACAACTCATTGAGTATATATATATCGGGGACCTGTTTAGCTTGTGGACTAGTTCTTTGGTGAATACCATTAATGTATTGTTCATGATCTGTCATAGATATTTTACTAGTTAGAGTCCAAACAGTTTCAGAAAAATTTAAGATACGTGACTTTTTATTCATTGGTGATCCCTTTTAGCAGCTGATTTTAGAAATGAAAAGTCTGAAATGGTAAATAAAATCAACCAATAAGGAGGAAAGGAAAATCTTTAAAAAATGCTTCCCCCTCCCCCCCAACTCTGAAAGTCCTCTACTGCCCACAGAAGATGCTTGAAAGATATGGTTATAAACAGATGTCTTGGGAATAGTGAGCCAATCATCAAAGATAAGTTTAACTCTCATTTCATATTCCCTTAAGTCTCTGTAGATCTTTTTATGTAAATTGGTCGGGTCGGGGGGGAAAATGCTTTAGGGCCACTTAATTTAATAGGAATTATAACAGATGCAACTGTGTATAAGTCTTCTTTTAATATTTCTCTATCTCAAAATTATAAGCAAAAGTGCCTTGCCATTGATGGGGGGGGCAGAATATGGGACAAGAAGTAAGGAATAAGATGAAGGGTGTTCTGAAGAATCTCACTGAGGATGATGGAGTGGACAGTAGAAAGTGATCAGTGGGAAATGCTTTGTGAAAAGTCTTTTCTCCTCTCCCAGACAATAGAGTAGCTCTGGGTTTGGCTCCCTTTGGCTTGTTTACTCTGTGCTTTGTCAAAGGAGGGGTGTATATAATTCCAATGTCATATCCCTGTCCGAGACAGCAGCAGCTTCCTGGCATGGTGGGAAAGCTGGCTGGGATTTCTCAGCTTGGGGAAAACCTTTTCAGTTTATGCTTGAATATGATTGAGTGGTAATTTCTCATTCATGAAGTGATCTTTTGGTCTGTTTGTTACTAAATCACTGTCCCTGTATGTTAGGCTAGGGAAGGAAGGGGGAAAGTTGTTAAATTCTTCCTGGGCTCCTTATTTAGTCATCTACTTCTGCCCTTACAACCACTCACTACCACCAGCTCCTCTGCCAACACTGCCCCTCTCATTCTTTTACTAAAATTGTCATTCAGTTTCTTGATTAGAAAGACTCCTTTGGTGTTTCATAGCCTATCTTATTTTAAGTTAGTATCATTCTGCTGATATATTTTTTTATTGAAATCTCCCAAATATTAACAGAACTAAAATAATCACTGCTGTGTTCTCATTACAGATTTTTGAATAAGGAGGAAAAATGAAAATTTTTCTAATGAGCAGCAGAAAATCTGTTCCCATGTAGATCCTATAAGCTCCCTTTAGCTGGCAATAATGTTTTTATTTTTTTTAATACTCATACATATAAAAGAATAAATATGAACATTCATGTATCCCCCCAAATAAAACCTTACCAGCTCCTTTGTTGCCCTGTGTATCCCCCTCTCCCCCTACCATTGGATGTAACCAGCATCTTAAATTTTGATTTTCATTCTCTTGGTTTTCTTTATAGTTTTACCATATATGTACACATTTCTTTTTTGCAAGTTTTTTACTTTATATGAATAGAATTACATTGCATGTTTTTTTTTTTTTTTTTTTTTTTTTTTTTTTTCTATTCAGTATTTCCAAAAACTTTTTTTTTTTTTTTTTTTTTTTTGTGGTACGCGGGCCTCTCGCTGTTGTGGCCTCTCACTGTTGTGGCCTCTCCCGTTGCGGAGCACAGGCTCCGGACATGCAGGCTCAGCAGCCATGGCTCACGGGCCCAGCCGCTCCACGGCATGTGGGATCCTCCCGGACCGGGGCAAGAACCCATGTCCCCTGCATCGGCAGGCGGACTCCCAACCACTGCGCCACCAGGGAAGCCCCATTGCATGTATTTTTGTGCAGCATACATTTTCCATTCAGTGTTGTGTTTGAGATTTGCCCATTTTGATGCATGTAGAGTATGTGTGTGTGTATGTATGTGTGTGTGTAAGTGTGTGTGTGTGTGTGTGTATATATAGTTCATTCACTTTTGTATTAGTTTTTTGAAATGTAATTCACATACCATAAAATTCACTCTTTTTGTCTTAGTGCATTGGGACTGCTATAATAAAAATACCATGGGCTGGGTGACTTTTAAAAAATACAGATTGTTTCTCATGGTTCTGGAGGCTAGGAAGGCCAAGATCAAGGCAAAGCAGATTCAGTGTGTGGTGAGAGACTGCTTCCTGGTTCATAGACAGCCGTCTTGTCTCTTCACTGTAACCTCACGTAGCAGAAGGGCGAGGGAGCTCTCTGTGGTCTCTTTTATAAAGGCAATAATCCCATTCATGAGGGTTTCACCCTCAAAACCTAAGCACCTCTCAAAGGTGTTCATTACCTCCTAATACCGTCACATTGGTGATTGAGTTTAATGTATGAATGGGCTAGAGAAGGAGACACATACATTCAGTTTGTAGCATTTTTAAAGTATACAATTCTGTATTTCTTAATATATTCATAGAATTTCATTCATTTTTACCACTGTATAATAGTCCTTTGAATGGATATACTCTAAATTATATTATCCATTCTCTCATCAGTGGGCATATAGGTTGTTTCTAGTTTTGGGCTATTGCAGACAATGCTGGTATCTTATAAGTGTTTGCTGGTACATATATACAAGAAACCTGTATGATATAATCCTACAAGTGGTATTATTAGATATTTGTAGCTTCAACCTTCCTAAGACAGATAATGCCAGAATATTTTCCAAAAGAGCTATACATGTTTATTTTTCCCATAATGTTTTATGAAAATCAAGGGGAAAGATTTATTTTCTTCTCCCTTACTCTAGTTGAATTCATGCTTCCTGATAAAGATCAGATATATTTCATGAATGATAATGTTTTATTTTTGTAGGACTTTGCTGCTATTCGAGCACAGTGATATTGTTGTCATCTCACTGCTCAGTGTTTTGTTCACTAGTTCTGGAGGAGGACCAGCAAAGGTAGACTTTTACATTATTCATTACTTGAAAATTGAAAGTGTATATGTAAAATACTATCTAAGGCAGTAAAATAGTATCCTTTACCATTTAAAAGAATGCAGAGGCTTTTTCTGCTAATTATAAATTTTTCTCACAAACATTTTGTTTTTTACTTTTTTATTTTGAAATCATTATATATTCCTATGAAGCTGCAAATATAGTACAGAGAGGTCCTTGTGCCCTTCACTCAGTTTCAATAGTAATTTCCTACCCAGCTCTTGTACTATCAAGACCAGGAAATTGACATTGGTATAATCCATAGACCTTATTCAGATTTCACCAATTTTTACATACACTCGTGTGTATATGTGTGTGTGTGTGTAGATTTGTGTAACCATCACCACAGTCAAGGTGCAGGACTGATTGATCACCACAGACATCTCCTTCATGCTATACCTGATCCCTCCCCTCTCTCATTCTTAACTCCTATACATCATTTTTGGAAAATACGTCCCTAAGAACTTGTTATATTTAAAGTCTGATGAATGTTTTGCCAACTAGGTGACCCTATTTATCTTCCATAATTTAAGTATTAATCTCTTTTCAGTAAATGCATCACCAATGTGCAATTATAACTTACAGCTACAATACTTTTATTTACCAAATTAAATGCTTCCTATGCATGACGCATTGTGCTTGTTACAGAGGAAAGGAGAAATAAAGGCAAATAAGGTTTAATAGTTTCTGTTCTTAAAGGGGCTTTCAGGCTAAATAATGGAAGCAGATGAATAAAATAAAGTGAACAACGTAACATACCAAGTAGAGCAGAGCCTACCCAGCCTGTAGATTTCAAATTGGATCCTTGGGTGTCAAAGCATATGCCACTATTTAATCTTTTCCCCTCACTCACAGAGTACTCCAAAATAAATGTCAAGTGGATTGAAGATTTTTGTGGTTAAAAAAAAAGATATTTGTAAAAGCATAGAATAGAATATAGATGGATAATTAATCTGTGGACAGAGAAGAACTTTCTGAGCATAAAACCAGTAGAAAAAAAATCACGAAGGGGAAACCACGTACGTTTGACTGCATAATGATTACAAGCATCTATGTAACAGAAATCATTGTGCGAACAGCAAACTAACAACAATAACAAATTGCCACAGATAAAAGTTTTACTGTTTTTTTTTCTTTTTTTTTGCGGTACGCGGGCCTCTCACTGTTGTGGCCTCTCCTGTTGCGGAGCACAGGCTCCGGATGCGCAGGCTCAGTGGCCATGGCTCATGGGCCCAGCTGCTCCTCGGCATGTGAGATCTTCCCGGACCAGGGCACGAACCCGTGTCCCCTGCATCAGCAGGTGGACTCTCAACCACTGTGCCACCAGGGAAGCCCCTACTTTTGTTTTTTAAATATAATCACTCAAATAGTTTAAAAAAATGCTGAAGATCCTCAATAGAAATGAGCAAAGGACAGGAAAAGACAACTCGCAAAAGAAATACAAATGACTTTAAAACATTTAACAAACATTTTACTGCACTAATCAGAAATGAGAGTATGGATCGTAATATCCTGTCATTAGTGTCAATAATGAATCTGGGCATCTCGCCAGGACTGTGATTTTTTTTTTTTCTTAGTCTGACTCTGAAGCATCACAAAATTCTCAATTGCCCTCTTTGCTAAGAAAAGATTAAGTTATATTCTCCATATTTGGGTATTGTTAATGTTACCCTGTCCTGATTGAATGAAAATTATGAAATTTTAAATTATGTGGTTTATGTATACTAACTTTTGTCAAAATACCTACCACACTAATAGAGAATTTATCAAATGTAGTGGTAGTCGTATAATGAATAAAATAGGATCCTCATTTTTCATTTAAAATTTTTATTTCATCGAAGTATCTGTTATTACACCTGTAAATTTGTAAATAGAGAATGTATAATAATGCTATTTAGATTGCTTCTGTACCAAAAATTCTGAAGTGTTTGTATAAACGTGGATAGTATGTCCTTTCTATAATTTTCTCTTGTCAAAATCCTTTCCCTGGAATGAGAACATACGAAGTGTATTCAGCTTTTAATACCTTTACTAGCTATTAGAGATGACTTTGCTGATTTTCTTAACATGCCCTCTTAGTTCTTTTTCCCTAGAAGAGTGGTAACTAGGTTACTGACATTATTGTAAATCAGCTGTCTTCTCTATTACTTGCATGTTGTAGAATAAATTAGGTCACTACTAATTATTCCTTAGTTACTTGGGCTTTTCAAACAGAAGCAAAGTAACATTTAGGAAGATTAGTTCTGTGACCATTTAATGGTTTGTACATGGTAACATGCTGATCAGTACTAGCAGGGAGACAATTGAAGTTGTCAAATTGTCAAGTGCCCAAAAGATACCCTACAGAATTTGTTGGAGCTCTTTAATTTTGTATCTTACTGTTAATACTGTAAATTTATATTGTACAGTATAAGGACTTTAATGTCAGATGTTATTTTTTCTTTAAATATTTATCTGAAAAAAATTTTCTTTAACATTTGTATAGTCGTGGTCTTAAAAATCAACACTTGAAAAAGCTATTCTTGCTGTTATTCTCTTCATTTTCAGACAAGAGGGGCTGCTTTTTTCATTATTGCTGTGATCTGCCTATTGCTTTTCGACAATGATGATCTCATGGCTAAAATGGCTGAACACCGTATCCTTTTGCAAAAGATCGGAGTTTTTTAGTCTGACACAATGGGAAATGAAGGAGTGACTAAATTATACTGATCAATCATGAATGAAACTTTCATAGGTTGATGTAGGTATTCTAAATCAGTATTCAAATAATTAATAAATTCATTCTAAATTAAATATTTTATAGCATCTCAATATCTTTTACAGCACCGTAAGTTTTCAGAAATTTAGGGACAATGAAAGAATATTTTAGAATGTCCTGATGCTATTAAAAAAAAAAAATAGGTGATTTACCACTCAACAAAATCAATCTATTTGCTCTCTTGTAATTTAACAATTTAAATGCTCCTTTTAGAAGTCAGTGGCAATTATTAAATATAAACTTTTTTGAGATTAAATGAAAAAAACCTTTGGCATCTTGCCTGAAAGAAGTTCAAATTCCTTAACCTGGTATTCACCCTCTTGCTCTAAATTATTATTTCCAACTCATCCCCCACTTGTCTCTTATATAAACCCAACTTTCCAATCAAATATATCTACTCATTTTCCTCTGCAGTCATGCACTGTTCTTTCCTATCTATACACCCTTTCCCACTCCATTTAGCAGGACTCAGAACACCAGTTTTGATTCTTCTGGTTACTGATACTGCTGTGAAACCTATTAGTTAACTAATGTCAGTTTACTTTGTTACAGTGAAAGAGGACAGCATGACTTTGCAGAACTCCAGGTTGATTGTTAGACAGTTGTTGCCCGCTGTACCCTCTTTTGCTTGTTGCTCGCTTTGCTGAGGCTTATGTGGTCAATGGCTTAGAAACAGATTTAGCACTGATTTTTACATGGCATATCCAATTCCATTGGATAGGAGTGATCTAAGGAGGTTCCTTGCTCTTGTCCCTTTGTCCTCTTTAGAGTATGCATGCATATGTCTTTTGGAGGTTAAGTACTAAAATTTAACAACTGTGCCTTAAGCACTATTATAATTGTTTTGGAGACAACAAAAGAAATATATATAGGCCATTCTAATTTATAAATCATGTCCCAAAATTAAATTTTTAATTATTTTCTTTTGTTTTTAAGGGAAACATATTGTTGAGGATAGTCAGGTTTGCCCTCAGATTGGTGTATGTATAGTCAACCCAAAATAATGTAGCTAAAATTCCAGGAGGACTTCAGGATTCAGAGAGTTAATATTTGGCATTTTTTTTCCTTCACTCCAACTCACTTAGCTGAAGGACATCATGACAGTGCTCTAACTCACATGCTTTACACAGCCATTGCCTTCTTAGGTGTGGCAGATCACAAGGTATGTTCTTTTCTTTGTTCCTAAGGTGATCAAGAGATTCTGAAAAGTTACAGCAACTGTAGCTTTAAAAGTACATTTAAAATGAGTTACCAGTAATTTACAGTACTGCCAGCCATTTAAGTAGTTCAGTAATTTGGGTTATGGAAAAAACATGCTAGCTCCATTTCTTTAAATATTATGTATTTAAGGCTTGAGTGTTGAACTGTGTGTTTCTAATGAGACTTATCTACTTTTACTCATAGGGTGGAGTATTACTGCTAGTACTGGCTTTGTGTTGTAAAGTTGGTTTTCATACAGCTTCCAGAAAACTCTCTATAGATGTTGGTGGAACCAAACGTCTTCAAGCTTTATCCCAAATTGTTTCTGTGCTTCTCTTATGCCCATGGGTCATCGTTCTTTCTGTGACAGCTGAGGTAAGAGCAGGAATTTATTGGTAATAAGTAAAATAAATTGCTGTCATTTTATAGATTTTAGGTCAGTACATTGTATTTTATTTCAATTTGATGTTGCAAGTGGCTTTAAATTATCAAGTACTATTACATTTATATATCCCTCCCATTCCTGTGGCCCATAGGAATCAGTTAAATACTAATAATAATATTAATAATAATTTAATACCTACCCACAAACCCAAGGATTATGTATCACCAAGTATTTATAAAATTATTAAACAATAATGCTTCTTTTTTTAATACTTTGGAGAATACTAGGAAAATGTGCCAATATCTTATAACTCTTATATTTTGGCATTTTACAAATCATATTGAATCATGGGAATATTTGTTTATACATAAAGGGATTAACTAAAATATAAGATGTGAACTTTATACCCATATGGTATTAACAAATTTTTTTTTTTAATTTCTAGAGTAAAGTTGAGTCTTGGTTTTCTCTCATCATGCCTTTCACAACGGTTATTTTTTTTGTCATGATCCTGGATTTCTATGTCGATTCCATTTGTTCAGTCAAAATGGAAGTTTCCAAATGTGCCCGATATGGATCCTTTCCCATTTTTATTAGTGCTCTACTTTTTGGAAATTTTTGGACGCATCCAATAACAGACCAGCTTCGGGCCATAAACAAAGCAGCACACCAGGAGAGCACAGAACACGTCCTTTCTGGAGGAGTGGTAGTGAGCGCTATATTCTTCATTTTGTGTAAGCATTTTTCCCCTTAGCAAATTTCATCTTATGGATTCTGATGTTCAGTCATTTACTAAATTTGGGAATTTGTTCAATGCTTCATACATTTAGTGCTGATAGATACTGTGTTGGGTTTTGGTGGCTTAAATTTTTTAAACTTTTGTAATATCCCTTTTTTTTTCTTCCATTTCTAGCTGCCAACATCTTATCATCTCCTTCTAAGAGAGGACAGAAAGGTACCCTAATTGGATATTCTCCTGAAGGAACACCTCTTTATAACTTCATGGGTGATGCTTTTCAGCATAGCTCCCAGTCAATCCCTAGGTTTATTAAGGAATCACTAAAACAAATTCTTGAGGAGAATGACTCTAGGCAGATCTTTTACTTCTTGTGCTTGAATCTGGTAAGAGTTTTAAATATTAGTGGCATATCTTAAAAGCTTAATCTTTTAATTTTGACAGTTCTGGTATAATTTTAGTAATTCCCAAATAATTTTAGTAATTAGAAATGGGCTAAAATTATATTTTCTCTAAGCATTAGAAAGATTACAGGATCATATTCATACTACTTAAACAAACAATTTTTTGAAGTATTTTAAAAATGTTGGTTTAGTGTGCTATTTCAAATTAGTAGATATACTAGTTTATAAAGATTTTTATCAGGAATTCCCTGGTGGTCCAGTGGTTAGGATTCCTTGCTCTCACTGCCAGGGCCCCAGGTTCAATCCCTGGTCGGGGAACTAAGATCCCACAAGCCACACGGCACAGCCAAAAAGAAAAAAAGCTTTTTATCTACTCCTTATAAGATCTCACTACCGACCAGATTGCTAACATTTTATAGTCTAGTTTATTTAGTTCTACAGACATATAAATAAAGCTATCCCCTTTTAAGTAGTTTATAAGATAGACATATCTGATTTAGCTTGATTTCTTATAGCTTATATGAAATGAGATTTCTTGTATGAGAACCAGTTAAATAACGAAAGAGACAGTTATATAATATCTTCAAGTAAGGTTTGGGTAACTAAAGGTTAAAATCCTTATGATTAAATTCTGATAAATCTCTCTTGAAACAGTATTTCCCAACGTACTCCTCTCCTATTTTTTTTTAAACGTGTTTTAGCTTTTTACCTTTGTGGAATTATTCTATGGCGTGTTGACCAATAGTCTGGGTCTGATCTCAGATGGATTTCACATGCTCTTTGACTGCTCTGCTTTGGTCATGGGACTTTTTGCAGCCCTGATGAGTAGATGGAAAGCAACTCGGATTTTCTCCTATGGGTAGGTACACTGACTGTCAAGTCTTGTAGCAAATTCCATCTTATAGAATAAAATTGTACTACTTTTAATACAAATTTAAGTTTTCAGAGCTTCATTTTTCTTTAATTTAAAGTAGATAAGAGAAACTAAACCAAGCATTTGATAAATACTGAATGGCAGTAAGCTTAAGACTATATACTCCCTGACAAATCCCTCTCATAGGTAGATAGCAAAAAATCAGTTAAATAGTGAGCTATTTGGCCAACAGTGTTTCTTTGAGGTAATGGAATGTTCCTGGTCATTCACATCTTTGCAGTTAGAGAATTCAAAATTTAAAGTGGCTATGCATGCAGTATCCTTTCACTAAGTCATCATTAGTGAAATGATGCAGTAGCCTTTCACCAAGTTATCATTCAGTTCAGCAAATACTAGAATCCCTGATTTGTGCAAGATATTTTGATAAGAACTATTGTAAATAGGTTAATAAATTCAGTTCTTACTTTCAACTGTTTATATTTTGAAAGATGGATGACCCAAAATTACAAAAAATTTTGATACAAAGCCCAATCTATGTGCGGTGACAAAGATACAGAGAACGCCAAAGGATTAAAGGAGAGAGAAATAACTTCTTGCTAAGAAATTAGGACAGGCTTTGTGTAAGAAGGGACGTTGATGAAGGACTTTGATAAATATATAAAATTTCAACAAACATATATGTATGGAAAGAACCTTCCAGCATTAGTATGATATTTATAATCTTGGTAATTTTCTAGTCTTACTATTTGTGTAATTGAAAATCTGTCATTGAAAATCATTTCCTCATTTGTAACATAATAATGTTTATACTTTAAAAATATTTGTCATTTTCCTTTTCTAAAAATATATTCTACATTTTTAGGTATGGCCGAATAGAAATTCTCTCTGGATTTATTAATGGGCTTTTTCTAGTGGTAATAGCTTTTTTTGTGTTTATGGAATCAGTGGCTAGATTAATTGATCCTCCGGAATTAGACACACACATGTTAACAGTAAGTCTTTTCATTTTCCTATTTGAATATCTGCTCAAACTCATACAGCTTTTTCCCTGCTAAAGTTTAACTACTTGTAGTTATTGACCTAGGAAGGTTTTATTTACTTATTTTTTAATTTAAATTAACATAACTTCCTATCTTGCTATTTACATTTACACTGCTGACTCTTCTAAATTAATTAATACACTTTTCTCTAATATGCTAGTAGTCAAATATTAGATAATATTCTAAAACAGTTTCTTTTCTGCCTTATTAAACGTTTTTGTTTGAAGATGTGTTTTTGAATACCTGAGGAAATATTCAAAGGCTTAACTCTAGATTAAATTACTGCTATGGCAACTTTTAATGTTTTCCCTGGACCTCCAAATCTTTACATGCGCTGTTCCTTATAGTTCTCACGCACTTCCCTCACTTGTGCCCTTTTAGGCTTTGCTTCTAAAGTTGCCTTTGGTGGGATATTTTCCCTTAGTCCCTCTCTTCCCACCTTAAAGTGTGTTAGATTTCCCTTTCTGGATATTCCCATTGTATCTTGTGTAATCTTCTTTTAGCAACATTGACTTATAACTGTTGTTTAGTTTTTCATTCTTCCACAATTAAGATATGTGTCGCTCAATATCAAAAAAACAAACAACCCAATCCAAAAATGGGCAGAAGACCTAAGTAGACATTTCTCCAAAGAAAACATACAGATTGCCAACAAACACATGAAAGGATGCTCAACATCACTAATCATTAGAGAAATGCAAATCAGAACTACAATGAGGTATCACCTCACACCGGTCAGAATGGCCATCATCAAAAAATCTACAAACAAATGCTGGAGAGGGCGTGGAGAAAAGGGAGCCCTCTTGCACTGTTGGTGGGAATGTAAATTGATATAACCACTATGGAGAACAGTATGGAGGTTCCTTAAAAAACTACAAATAGAACTATCATATGACCCAACAATCCCACTACTGGGCATATACCCTGAGAAAACCATAATTCAAAAAGACACATGCACCACAGTGTTCATTGCAGCTCTATTTACAACAGCCAGGACATGGAAGCAACCTAAGTGTCCATCAACAGATGAATGGATAAAGATGTGGCACATATATACAATGGAATATTACTCAGCCATAAAAAGAAACGAAATTGAGTTATTTGTAGTGAGGTGGGTGGACCTAGAGTCTGTCATACAGAGTGAAGTAAGTCAGAAGGAGAAAATCAAATACCATATGCTAACACATATATATGGGCTCTTAAAGACAAACAATATGGTTCTGATGAACCTAGGGGCAGGACAGGAATAAAGACGCAGATGTAGAGAATGGACTTGAGGACATGGGGAGGGGGAAGGGTAAGCTGGGACGAAGTGAGGGAGTGGCATGGTCATATATACACTACCAAATGTAAAATAGATAGCTAGTGGGAAGCAGCCACAGAGCACAGGGAGATCAGCTTGGTGCTTTGTGACCACCTAGAGAGGTGGGATAGGGAGGGTGGGAGGAAGATGCACGAGGGAGGAGATATGGGGATATATGTATATGTATAGCTGATTCACTTTGTTATACAGCAGAAACTAACACAACATTGTGAAGCAATTATACTCCAATAAAGATGTTAAACAAATTAAAAAAAGATGAATATCACGGGGTTTAAAGTGATAAAGCAGAAACATTTTGTGTGTGTGTGTGTGTGTGTGTGGTACGCGTGCCTCTCACTGTTGTGGCCTCTCCCGTTGCGGAGCATAGGCTCCGGATGCGCAGGCTCAGCGGCCATGGCTCACGGGCCCAGCCGCTCCGCGGCATGTGGGATCTTCTA